TTATAATCATTATTTGTTTCATAGGCTCACAGTAAAGTTAAAATATGTATGTATGCAATTAAAAGAGCTTTCAAAAACGCACAAATTACAGTATTTTCTTGTCATTATACACCTCATGCTGATTGGTAAACAAAACAACATATGTGGCAAAGACAAGCTAAACCAGTCACTGGTCGCAAAAATCAATTTTTAGTTATTAATACATGTAAACAGTAAAATGAGAGCTACAAAATGGTAAAAGAATCGTTTAAATCGGACATTTCCTTTTACAAACATTTTAACATACAGCTGTTTAAAGGACAATATTAGAGAAATCTGCCTTCAAAGTTTATTTCGTGTATTTCTCAGGCAAAGATTATCACCAAATCGTTAAAAAATGTTGTTTTAATATTGAAAATGGGGAAAATAACAGCATAGCATGATGTGTAGCTATATAAAGGTTAGTTTAGTGCAATAAAATAGCTTTTAAAAATTTGACATTCCAGCATGTTTTGGCAATATCTCTGATCATTATTTGCGACGAGTGACTGGTTTGGCTTGTCTTTGCCACATATTCCTATTTTTCTTTAGGGTTTAGCTTTCAAATCACTGGCAGCACATTTTGGCAGTTGGCAGAATGATGTTAGAGGTTTATTTTAATTTCAAAAATATTAGAATGTGTTCATCAATATGATGTTAATATCAGATATTTGGATTGGAAAGAGATCATCGCAACCAATAACAGCTGCACTATAATGACAAAATCACTCTTCGTCATGAAATTACTGTACATGGTTGACTTTGGATATTATTTGTATATTCTAGGTTTCAACTGAGGCTGAGCATCTGATCCACTATCAGATTGGTGCATGACAGGAGTCAGGGGGCTTAGCTAACCTTATTCTCCCTGACATATTCACCATCCCTGAGCCAAAGAAAGTAGACTTCAGCCTTGAAGAAAAGAGACATACTTGAGCTACAGTATCAACAGGTAAGCAATTGCAGACATTTCCAATTTAAAATTCTTTATTCACCAACAAATGAAAGTGCATATTAAAAAAGATAATTTTATAACACTGATTATTGAAAGTAATCATCCTAAAAACGATAGAGTTTATACATTGGTGACCCTACAATGAAAATATGAATTGTAATGGTTAATGGTTATTAATTTATAGAGCGCAAAATACAAAAAGTCTCTAAGCGCTATCAGGCAAGTGTAAAGATGGAACGGAAACCAAAACCACAAAATAAAAAGAAGTGAAATTTGAATACCATGCCAGCACCCAAACCGAAGTATGGGGATACGCCCTCATCGCTGGCTAGGGTTCAATCTAACTGAACTACAGTCAGCACCTGTTGAGTCTCGGCCATCTCGGATTCGGGCGCCTCCTATCCTAGTTAAACCTATAAAAGCTAGCTGGCAAGGAAATAGAAAAAAAAATAAATTAAAGGGAGTGTTAAGTGGGTCTTAAGTCGTTCTTTGAAAATGGTGACAGAAGGTGACTCAGGAATAAATAAAGGTAACAAGTTCCACAACTTGGGCCCAGCAACCATAAACGATCGCTCCTCACAAGACTTTAACCGAAAGGATGGACAATAGAGATTGGTTGAGTCAGTTGTTGACCGGAGGGAACGAGTGCAAGTTGCAGAACGAACCTTAATTAATTCGGAAATGTATTGTGGTGATAACTTGTGAATTGATTTGTAAACATATAAAAGTACTTTGAATTCAATACGCTGTTTCACTGGCAACCAATGAAGACGACGAAGAGTAGGGGTGATGTGATGGAATTTAGGTGTCCCAGTGACAAGACGAGCAGCGATGTTCATCAATAGCTGCAGCTTTCTAATTGATGTTAATGGTATTCCGTAAAGGACTCCATTACAATAATCTAATCTTGATGTAACCAATGTACAAGTTTTGACGTAGCATCTTCATTTAAAATAACGCCTAACTGCCTTGATGTTGCGGAGATGGAAGGATACTACTCTGCATGTGTTTGTAATATGTCTAATCATGGATAGTGTGGAGTCAAACGTTACACCGATATGTCGCACCTCAGAAGATGGAATGATGTAGGTGTCTCCCACGCGGATGTTTTCAATGATGGGTACATTTAGACGGCGTTTAGGCTTTATATACAGCACTTCTGTCTTGTCTGTATTGCAGCAAAGCATATTGATAGACAGCCATCTATGAACATCAATACAACCTTCTAAGTTGCGAACTGTCTCTGCGGCAGCCTCCGGACTAAAAGATGTGTACAATTGTGTGTCGTCGGCATAAATGTGATATTTAATACCGTGTTTCTGAATGATGTCGCCTTTTGATGGGCCCCAAGGTAGAACCTTGAGGAACACCAAAATTCACTGGGACTGGAACTGAAATGGCTGATTCCACTCTAACAGACTGTTGTCTAGATTTTATGTAAGAGTTGAACCATGTTAATACTGTACCAGAAATCCCTAAAGCTGAAAGTCGATCAATGAGGATACTGTGATCGATGGTATCAAACGCGGCGGAAAAATCGAGGTACACTGATAATGTACAATATCCGTTGTCAAGGGCCTGCAAAATATCATTATTAACTTTCATTACAGCAGATTCCGTACTGTGTGCTTTTCTAAAGGCTGACTGGTAAGAATCAAATAAATTATTGGAATTTAAAAACTTAACAAGAATTGAACAGACAACTTTCTCAATGATCTTGGCTACAAAAGGGATATTAGTAACTGGCCGATAATTGATAAACGAATGAGGATCCAATGTTGATTTTTTCAAGAGTGGCGTGATAATACCAATTTTTAAAGAGTCAGGAAAAATGCCGGAGGATAGGGACGAATTGACAAGAGAACGAAATAATGAGACAGCACAATTGAGTTTACGAATAATCTTGGTAGGGAAAGGATCCAAATCACAAGATTTCGGTGCCATAGATATAAGAAGTTTTGCAACCGTGTCTTCACTGACTGTCTCAAAGCTTTCAAGTTTGGTGATATGACATGAGGGATGAGATGCGGCTGTGAAAGATGAAACTTCAGATTTGATAGAGATACCCTGACGCAGACGTTTGATTTTATCAACGAAAAATGTGTTAAAGTCAGTAGCCAACTGAAGCTTACTGGATGATGGTGGTAAATTTGTCACGGTTGTCCTACCAAGTAGCTTGTAGGCAAGCTTGAACAGAGCTCTCTGATCATGTCCACATCCCTCGATCTGAGACTGGAGGTAAGAAACCCGAGAATCTTCAAGCGTATGGTGGTAAATATTACATTGAATCTTATACTCGGGGAAATCACAATGATTTTGAGATTTCAGCCATTTCCACTCAGCTTTACGTCTTGCTTGTTTAGCTATCCTACAATTATTGGTGAACCAAGCAGGGGATGCATGATTAGAAACGGTCTTAGATTTTAATGGGGCCAGTTCATCTCTAAGTAAGGTAAGTGTATAGTTGTACTGGGTCATTGCGTTGTTCACATCCATGTCATCACTAAAATTAGTGAAATAAAATTTAATGACTAGCTGTACATCGAAAATACATGGACAGTAAGCTATCACCAGGAAAAAAATAAAAGATGTTACCCTTTGAATTAAAATAGAATTGTAAACATTAAAACAGATTTTGGTGGCTCAAAATACCTACACCTAGCTGTAAATCAAGAACATGCTTTTTTAAGAAGGAATCCAAGAACTTAAGCACCAAATAAGAAATCTTAAAACTACTTAAGATCAATAAAAATAGAAGTGAAAATCACTATATTATTATAATAAAGATATAAGATAAGATAAACTTTCATCTTATCTATCTTATATTATGAAAATCACCATTCCTAATTACTGTACTGTAAATAACATAAATTAAACTGTAAATATAGAATCTTCATTGCTGCTATTCAATTGTGGTGGGATGCTAAAAATGTTTTTAATGTTGTATCTATTTTTTTTTAATCTGGAGTGGAGGTGGTATAACTTTGTACAAAATGCAACAATAATATGTAATAATTTTACTCCCATGCATTTATTTTGAAATTGATAATTGTAAGCAGATTACTTATAGTATATCGCGTAGTATGCAAACTCGTGCATGATAAAGCATTGATATTTGGCATATGTATTACCTCCCTAACAATGTAGCTGTGTTAAAATGTGAATGGACTATTAACTTTTATAGTTAAAATTAATATACAACTACAAATATGTACAGTATTATACAATAGTACTTTTCTACTAGTTGGAACTATGCAACTACGAGTATACTGTACTTAAATATACAAAATTATTATTGATGTTTATAAAACTGGGCAGACACTGCATCGATGAGGCACACAAAATAGCATAATGACAATCCGCTCGGTCTGCTAAGGACGATAAGCAGACGGTGTCTAGCGCCCACTGAGCAAACCAGGTCGTGCCAGGCTTCAAATGTAGTTTGTTATTGTAATGCTCACAATATATGAAACAAAATATTATTTAATGGATTTATATATATATACATATATTGATTCCGCATTTGCTTTGATAAAATATAGAATGACAGCATTAGAAAACAGCTATGAGTTGTAAACATACTATGAAGCAATATAATTTATTAAATCACACTCCTGTGTTCTTCCTTAGTGTGAGGACAACTGACAACAAATACAAAGTAAAGTATATATA